AATAGTTCCAATAACGATTTTATTTAATTACGTAATCAACTATTTGTGGATAAATTTGCCTAATTTCAAGACACATTAAAACTACTTTATATGCCTTAATGATTAGAATAGAATTTTATGACTGTCTTTTTTCGTGAATTTTAATATTTACAATAAGAAAAAAAAATAAGGAAAATCGAACTCGATAGAAATATCAATGAAGTCAATGTCAATTATAGAAAAAAGAAGCTGAAAATAGTCTCTACAGATAACCTAAAAGTCTCGAGTTCGAATTTCCCCTCGATTCTGTAGTGCGTCCCTGAGTCAACACAGCTCCGATGAGTACATTACTCACGTTAGGGAAACACAAACGGCTTGGCACAGTATTAACCACACTATCCCCTGTATGTCGAGGTCAACAGATTCACGCTACTTCATTCTGGCCCTAGCGTCTTTGACACGAAAGTGGAAATATATCGATTGCTTGTATTAAGGGAAATAATGCAAATAACTATCAGCAAAAGTAATAATAAAAGTTATCTTCCCTTGAAGGAATTTCAGAAACAGCGAATAACCTGAAGACACACTTCAGTAAACCTTTAGACAATTTACCAGTTGTGTTAATTGGCATAATTTCAGCTAAAATTAACATAACGTGGGGTTAATTAAGGTGTTCGCCCCATGGAGCGTGGAGGGGTCGGTACACCTCTGGTGCTGTCTAGTTAAAGTTTAATTCACCTGGTATTTTATATTGGGTGTAATGAGACCGAATCTGAGTCTAGTAGATAGAAATAAATTTGTAAATTAAATCAATACAGTGGTGTTAAAGAAATCAACGTCCACTATCTTGAGGTTAACCATCAAATCACGCTAAAAGTCCATGTTTGTCAACAAGCTCGTGCATTTCGTTATGTGTACTTTACGAGGCCACAATGGCAGCTTGGGGTGAGTTTGTCATCTCGCTGGGTTAAGGTCTGGTCATTATGTGAGTCGTGGAAAACATAAACACAAAGTCTATTCAAGTTAATGTCTGTATAAGTTAGTGGACATGAAAAATCACACTCGCTTTAGTGCTTTGTTGGACAATCCGTTCTCTGATGGTATGTCGCGTTTTATCGACAGTCACTGTTGTTTACGGAATGTATTAGAATGTGGTAGAATATAGTAGAAATTAGTTAAGTGATTAAAATAGAGTTAACGAAAATAGAATAAAGTAGAAAATAGTAGAGTGGAACACAGTAAAATTCTTTAAGTTGTCTGGTGAGCTCAGTGCCATCGAAACTTCTAGAAAACGTTTGCTCTCACTCTGGACAAACTTCGATCTAAAAATATTCTTATTGATTCAGTCGATTCCACTTTTATCTTCGATGGTCAAAACGACAGAAATTCCTAATCTAGTGTTCTTAAGACGTCTAACAACCTATTTAAGCTGTCTTTTTATCTACTCAAATAACTATCAATCTTCGTACAGCTTTCTTATCTGCCCGTGCAGTCCTCTATACTCTATACTTTAGATGTAAGTTATAACCTGTAACATAATGCAAACAAAAGCTAAAGTTTCTGTGGACGAAAACCCTCCAAGCAATGATTTGTAAACAAAAGTCCGATGGAGAGGTGTGGCCTCAGCTGGTTGCTCCTTTGGTGCTCAAAGTGAATAAGTAATTTGAGACTATTCACGGCTATGTCCATTCACTTCGTAATTTATTGCAAAAATGTTGTCAAAAGTGAAGTTCAATACAAGCACACAAATATTTTTATGTGGTACTTTACATATTGTACTGAACATATGTCAAAGATTGTGCGGGTATGACATTATCTGTACGATGCTATTTCACTAGCCGTATACTATCAGTTTAATCTATTTAGAAGGTTACTACATCTACAAATAAAGTAGATCGTAGTAGAAAATACTAGTCTAATACTAGTATTGTTGAGTGTAGTAGATTATAATAGAATGTAGTACATCTACCACATAAAAACCCATATCCTAGTACCCACATTCAACCATTTAACATAGAATAACCCACACACAAACACTCATCCCACAACATAAATACCACTCGCTAAACCACCCCATATATACACCACACAAAACAAGAAGTAAAGTGTTGTAGAAAATGATAGAATAGAGTAATCAGCAGTAGAACGGCATGTTGAGTAGAGATGAGTTAAGTTGTAGTAACCTTCTAAATAGTTTAAACTGGTAGTATACGGCTAGTGAAAGTACGACATACAACTGACGCCATACCCGCACAAACAGTGACATATGTACAATATGCTAAGTTACCATTTAAAACAAAACAAAAACACCACTTGTATTAAAATAGGCCGACACTTTTCATAACATTTTCGCAATAAATCACAGAAGTCAATGAAGCCCTTCAGGAGCAACGGAGTGCTGCCACACCTCTCCATCGGAATTTTGTTTACAAATCATTGCTTGGAGTGTTTTCGTCCACAGAAACTTTAGCTTTTGTTTGCATTACGTTACAGATTATAATTTACATCTAAAGCATAGAGGACTGCACGGGCAGATAAGAAAGCTGTACGAAGATTGATAGTTAGTCGTGTAGAATAAACGACAGGTTGAATAGATTGTTAGTCACCTTACTCTTAAGTAGATTCGCTAACACTTAAGAAGTTTTGGCGTTATGAACGTCGAATATTGAAATTTGAGAAGGAAGTGGAATCGACTGAATCAATAAGAATATTTTAGATCGAAGTTTGTCCAGAGTGAGACCGAACGTTGTCTAGAAGTTTCAATGGTCCTGAGTTCACCAGACAACTTAAAGCTATTCTGGGTCGCTTCAGTGCTTGGGTACTGAAATACATATTATAATAAAAACCCTTTTAATATATTAAAATGTAATGTTAAGCGTTCAGTCAGTCAGTCGGTCGGTGAGTGGAATTTATGTATTGTTTTAAATTTGTAGAACGTGCGTGCTGCATAGCGTTGGTGATGGGCAGAGGTGGAGATTATATATATAAATATAAATAAATAAATTAAAATATATATATATATATATATATATATATATATATATATATATATATATATATATATATATATATATATATACCAGTCAATGGAACACAGTACTTTTCTAGTTTTACGCCACCTTTCCCTCTCTGCCAACATGATATTGAAAATCTCGAAATTCTTCAGCCTGAAGCAAGAAGTCAAGTGATTAGAGTGTATTTGCTGAGCTGTTGACACTATTTAAACAGTCTTGTATAATATTTACACAAGTGTACGTCGTTAAGTTCATAGACAAATGATGGAATACACGCCATACGGAATTCAAAACTCCTAACTGAATTTTAAACAAAAGAAGTTGAAATGTGTCATTGATATTACAGCAGTGATAGAGACGTCATTCGCATAGTACAAACACCAGATGAACTAGAGGTTTTCATCGTGTGAATAGATTAAAAACACGAAAGTTTAAGAAAGATTTTAAAATTTCAGTCAATAAAAAGGTGTTTCGGTTATTTTAAATCGGCAGTCTAAGTCTAACAACAGATTAAATGATGAGACCTTTGGATGGTACTGAGGTGAGTTTATGTGGTGTTATTGTCAACGGTTTGCATTGGGGCTGTTCCTTAATTAAAGCATATTAAACAAAATGTATGCTGGTATAATAATGCATTTGATATTTAATTACTCAACTACTAATCGACAAAAGAACTTAATTGTATTTCTGCAATAATGTGATTAACTTTAATATATTCGTAAACAAACATATTATTTTTTGCCCATTGCATTACAATCTATGAAGTCATAATTTAAAGACATGTATTTATGAAATACTTTTACTGCAGTCGAAAAAACAGAGGAGATTTTGTGACATCATTATTTATTAAGCCTCGTTTTGTGTCTTTTAGTTCTAAATTAAAAAACAAAAACAAAAACATTATAAATGTATTGTTTTATCGGCTTCAAACTGTCGAAAATATTGTTTGTTTTCTGAGCAACTCGTTTTAAAGCAGACATTATAGCATCAAACAAATCTAGTCTGTAATCAGTCTTCAAAATATTCAAACAATTATAGATTTAAAAATAATATTGTTTCTTAAAGACATTGTGTTTGTGGTAATAGTGTAGAATCATGTTAATGACACTTCATGTTAACACATTAGAATAGTAATGCTTGGAAAAATAAAATTACACTTAATATTTCAGTGTTGATTTCAAAAGACGAAGCATGGATAAAAGTAACAGATATATTTTCCAAAGTTTAATTTGTCTGCTTGTTGGATTATTTGACAACTCCAACTGTTGTCGAGTTCAAAAAGTGATAACGGAAGTCCAAACTTCTGAAAAGCCATCACCGTGCCAGGTCTCTTACAGTAAAGATGATGTTGTCGTCGACTGTCAATATCGGTCATTGACCTCTGTTGACCTCAGCTGGTTCCCTCTAAACACGACGGCCATTTTGTTGGACTATAATGGGTTCACGGAAATTCCCGAGAGCTTGTCTCAACTTGGTAATCTCCGACGTCTAAGTCTGTCGAACAATCAAATAAGAAACGTCAGCTCTATCAATGTTACATGGTTGTACAACTTGCTGTATTTAAATTTAGAACTGAACGGGCTGGAGTTATCTAACATGATGATTGAAACAAATTCTTCTAGTCTAGGAATTCGAGAACTTTTGCTAATGCAACAAATGGACGGAAGGAACGAATTTAATGTTGGAAATTTGGTTCGCCATCTTCACAACTTAACAAGACTAACCATAGATATATACGGGGAGGAGTTAATTTTTGATGATAATTTTAAAAACTTGACCAATTTGAGATCTTTAAAAATATCAGGAACAGTTCACAAGATAACCAATGCAAGTTTCGAAAATTTACCAGAGCTACGTGAATTAGAACTTTACTACCTCACAGAATTAAAATATTTTAGTAACCACGCTTTAGCACCTCTTGTTTATTTAGAACATCTTACCATGATTTATGTCCGATTAGGACTTCGGAAAATTATGGAGACGTTTTTTCCACTAGTTGGTAAAAACATGTCGTCAATTCATTTGGAGAGAGTGCAGCTCTTAACAACTGAAAAATATACAACTTTAATGAGAAAAGATGGAATCATTACAGAAAACACAACCAGGTATTTACGCCAGATTTGTCTTGGAGAGCTTCGAATGACTGATTGTTTCATATTTGTGATAACCGTCAATGCTTTCAATGGCGGGGCACTCAGTAAGTGTCTGGTTACGCTCAATCTACATGAAAACCCTCTCTTTGGAATGGCGCTTTCGGTTCTCGTCTTTGCCAATATGAAGAAAATCGAAACCATTTTGTTAGGTGGCTATGAAAAATCCAGATTTGACATTGGCACGTTTGAGTTTGATGTGGCACATACTAAACGTCATTCATCGTTTGTAAAATTTCAGGAACCGGATTCATCTTCGGAAATCAACAAAAAATATGAAATTAATAACTATTCCCATTCGCGTCTTAATCAATTTGAAATGACATTCGATAACATTTCTGAAAAATCTGAAAGGCTACCTGCTACAGGGGACATTCAAGTTTATATTTCAGACTCCTTGCGATATTTAGACTTTTCAAGAGGAGGGAGATCAATGTTTTTTAATGAAAATGCGAGATTAATCGGCGGTAAAAATCTGTTTTATATTGACGTAAGTGACGGTGGAATTCATAGCTTTACAGGAACTGTAAGTGGTTTAACGGCACTTCGAGTTTTTGTACTTTCTGGTAACGACTTCTCTGATATGGATGAAACATTTTTCGATTCGGTTTTAACAATTGAAATTTTATTACTTTCTAACTGTAACTTTAATGGTGCTATTGAATCGAAAGCTGGATTGAAAGGTTTACAAAAATTGAAAAACCTTACGAAATTAGATTTGTCAGGCAATTCGTTAGATGTTTTAGACCCAAACATATTCCAGCAGAATAATCTAACACACCTTATACTAGCATCCAATCGTTTCAGGAGTTTTCCATTCGATATCAAAACCACGCCAAATCTACAATATCTGGATCTTAGATTTAACGCTCTAATTTCTATTCAATCTTCTGTTTTAAAAGAAATAGATCACCTTGCCAGTAGATCTAGTGGATTTCAACTTCTCTTAAAAGGCAATATACTCGCGTGTGGCTGTCACAATATAAATTTTCTCTCTTGGATTCATCAGACAGAAACCAAGTTGGACTTGAATAGAAATTACTCGTGCATTGATGAAACAGGATCGTTGACTTACACAGCAGCCATTACAAATATGGAGGCGTTTTGGAGGGCGTGTTGGGGAAGTTTTGCCCTTTCCGTTTCGATGATTTTGTTTTGTTTACTTGTCATTGGATTTGTGTTGTGCTTTTTTGTTACCAAATATAAAACGTATATCATTTCTGGACTGTTGAATTTGTTTAGTGAAACTTTTCTAAAGAAACCTTCCAACTACGAGATTGGTGTCTTCATTGGTTATGCTGATAGAGATTACCAGTTCGCTTGTCATGACCTCAGGCAGTTTATCGAGGACACACTGGGGTTAAGGGCGTTTGTCCGTGACCGTGACCTTCCACCTACAATAGATCTTGCCTCTGGCATTACTGAAGCGATAGAGTCCAGTTGGAGAATTCTTCTGGTCATCAACGAGACGTTTCTTACCTCTGACGACTGGTTCCTGTTTACCTGTAGATCGGCCATTTATTCCACGTCACCTGGAAATCCTAACAGAGTTGTCGTCCTTGTTGAAGAACTGTTATGTCACCGTCTACCGCGTGACCTACTTGCAGGTGTATCAGAAGAGAATATAATTTTTATGTCAGGACCAGAGCTGGACTACCAGCTGAAGGAAAGCATCAGAACTCGTCTTGTTGTTTGACAAATGCTATGAAGATAAATGTTACAATTCTATAAAAATAAAGTTAAAACGCAAACATGTATAGTTTACAAGCTTTTACTTTTTTTGCAAAGTCTGTTTGTTTTTGGGTTGTGTCAAATCTTGTAACTTAATTTTGAACCACTTCTTATGCAACAATTTCGTTTAAACTTTCTAGATACGTTCCACTTCGATGACAATACAATCTTTTCTTTTGTGTTTGTGTTGTGTTTTTCTTTTGTGTTTGTGTTTTCTTTTGTGTTGAGTTTGTGTTTTCTAATGTGTTTGTGTTTTCTTTTGTGTTTGTGTTGTGTTTGTGTTGTGTTTAGTATTTTTCTGTTCCCAAGTTGGTACATTTAAAAAAGATTTACAGTGGTGGAGTACGGGTATGTAGCATATATATATATATATATATATATATATATATATATATATATATATATATATATATATATATATATATATATATATATATATATATATATATATATATATATATATATATATATATAAAACTTTATATATATTTTTTTTGTCTCAATGTGGGTGATGTGTGATGGTACCAATGTCAACAATATTTTCCTTCTTTGTTATGTTAAACATAGAGTTGATTATCTAACCAATACTGGAATGATTGAGTCACCTCTCTTGAAAAATAAATTTAAAAAACACACCAGCTGCGGACAACCGTGTATCATATATCACATTAAAAAAATCAATTTTTATTGCAGGGGCGAATGCAGGTTTCCTGGTTTGGGGGTTTCAGCGACCTTGGAAAAGGCGCTATATAGTATAGCTATATTAATAAATAAATGCATACATTAATAAATAAGTAAATAAATAATTAAACTAAAAATAAATAAATAAATTTTAAAAAGTAGATATTTATATAACATGACAGTGGACACTTAAATTTTATTTAAATTAATCTCCAAAAAGGCGCCACTATTCTTAAATTGTGCTGACCACTATATCACAGGTCTCTGAAAGATGAACTCTACTTCATCTAGGCACGATCGGGAATAGATGATGATCATAAAATTGGTTTAAGAGGGAGCGACGCCCCCCTTACCCAATTCCCTTGCGTACCCTACTGATTTATTGGGCTAATTAAAACATGTAGCATAAAGCTGGCAGCTTCACCTATGATCACACTGACAGCAACGTTTAACTTAGATACTCACTGTCAAAGGCGAAATGTGCAGCAGACGTTTTTATTGGTTCACGTGGGTATTTCAGCATGCTATAATTAGCGACGTGAAGGACTCATATCGTGTCTGACTATTTACTGTTATCTGTAGCTAATTAGTTGGTGATTATTACTTAAATACAATCAAAGTTTGTTTGTACGGACTTTTGGTGAGTTAACACATAAATTACAAAAATAATTTTTTGTAATTTATATCTGTGTATAGCCTTACCTATTAGCTACACAACCGAAACACATTTTACTGTTCCTTTTATAAAATAATATGAAAACAATTTGTCAAAACCTGTTGTAAGGCTAGCTGACAAACTGGGTGGGGTTGCAAGTTAATTTGTTGTCTTCAGGTATAATCCGCACCTCCGACAGATGAGATACAGTTCATACCACGATCACAGTGATTAGCTAGCTTATTAAAATGTAACGATTTAAGAATCATCAGTTTGGAGAATATAATGGGTTTTTTTCTGCAGCATTTAAATACTAAATAGTCAAAAAATTAAACACTATTTTAAAAACCGGTGTTAAACAAGCTTTGAAATGAGCTAAAAGTTAAAAAAAATCAAACGATCTTTAAGTAAAATAGTAATACAGTATAAAAATGTTGATTACAAAGCTAATCAAGTTAAGTCAGGTTGTTTTACATGAAGGTAACGAAACCCTTACATAAGCTATTATCACTTCCTTTGCTTATTCTGTATTATTTAAAGTACAGTGCACACTGTTGATATACAAAGTTGCTGGTGTATATTTTTGGATAATTTTCTGCTAATCAAGCCATCAAGCCATCAAACGAAAACGCAAATAGTGAAGTGTGTCAAAGATGTCTGAGAAGAAATCTTGTCCAGTTGACCTTTCAGGTGAAGGTGAGGTCAACAGTGTGTTCAGACAGTGGAAACGTCCAGACCTGCCCAGTAAATGTACCTACACACTGGACACCCCACTGGACCAGTCACCTCACATCCATGTCAAGGTGTAAGTTATAAGTTACGTGTAACATTTGATAAGTTACATCCATGTCAAGGTGTAAGTTATAAGTTATGTAACATTTGATATGTTACATCCATGTCAAGGTGTAAGTTATAAGTTACGTGCAACATTTGATAAGTCACCTCACATCTATGTCAAGGTGTAAGTTATAAGTTATGTGTAACATTTGATAAGTCACCTCACATCCATGTCAAGGTGTAAGATATAAGTTACGTGTAACATTTGATAAGTCACCTCACATCCATGCCAAGGTGTAAGTTATAAGTTACGTGTAACATTTTATAAGTTACATCAATGTCAAGGTGTAAGTTATAAGTTATGTGTAACATTTATAAGTCACCTCACACATCCATGTCTATGTGTAAGTTTTAAGTTACGTAACATTTGATAAGTTACATATATATCAAGGTGTAAGTTATAAGTTACGTGTAACATTTGATAAGTTACATCCATGTCAAGGTGTAAGTTACAACTTACGTGTAACATTTGATAAGTTACATCCGTGTCAAGGTGTAAGTTATAAGTTACGTGTAACATTTGATAAGTTACATCAATGTCAAGGTGTAAGTTATAAGTTACGTGTAACATTTGATAAGTTACATCCATGTCAAGGTGTAAGTTATAAGTTACGTGTAACATTTGATAAGTCACCTCACATCCGTGTCATGGTGTAAGTTATAAGTTACGTGTAACATTTGATAAGTCACCTCACATCCGTGTCAAGGTGTAAGTTATAAGTTACGTGTAACATTTGATAAGTCACCTCACATCCGTGTCATGGTGTAAGTTATAAGTTACGTGTAACATTTGATAAGTCACCTCACATCCGTGTCAAGGTGTAAGTTATAAGTTATGTAACATTTGATAAGTCACCTCACATCCATGTCAAGGTGTAAGTTATAAGTTATGTAACATTTGATAAGTTACATCCATGTCAGGTGTAAGTTATAAGTTATGTGTAACATTTGATATGTTACATCCATGTCAAGCTGTAAGTTATAAGTTACGTGCAACATTTGATAAGTTACATCCATGTCAAGGTGTAAGTTATAAGTTACGTGTAACATTTAATAAGTCACCTCACATCCATGTCAAGGTGTAAGTTTTAAGTTATGTAACATTTGATAAGTTACATCCATGTCAATGTGTAAGTTATAAGTTACGTGTAACATTTGATAAGTTACATCCATGTCAAGGTGTAAGTTATAAGTTATAAGTTATGTGACATTTCATACGTCACCTCACACATCCATAAAGGTAAAAATTATAATTTCTCATCTCACATGCATGACAACTTGTAAATAAACATTCTGTAATTCTTCGTAAGATGCACGTAAAAGTTCCATACTACTTGTTTGTTCATTAAATAAAATCACATTTTCCTATATGACTTTGAACTACAATTGATAAACAAATACTGAGTCTATAACTATTTCTGCAGGGAACCTCGCCCCAAAATTCTACCTAACATCCTCTACAACATTGGCAATACACCCCTGGTGAGGCTGAACAGTATCCCAGCTAAAGAGGGCATTGAATGTGAAGTCTGTAAGTTAACAGTATCCCAGCTAAAGAGGGCATTGAATGTGAAGTCTGTAAGTTAACAGTATCCCAGCTAAAGAGGGCATTGAGTGTGAAATCTGTAAGTTAACAGTATCCCAGCTAAAGAGGGCATTAAGTCTGTAAGTTAACAGTATCCCAGCTAAAGAGGGCATTGAGTGTGAAGTCTGTAAGTTAACAGTATCCCAGCTAAAGAGGGCATTGAATGTGAAGTCTGTAAGTTTACAGTATCCCAGCTAAAGAGGGCATTGAGTCTGTAAGTTAACAGTATCCCAGCTAAAGAGGGCATTGAGTGTGTAAGTTAACAGTATCCCAGCTAAAGAGGGCATTGAGTGTGTAAGTTAACAGTATCCCAGCTAAAGAGGGCATTGAATGTGAAGTCTGTAAGTTAAAAGTATCCCAGCTAAAGAGGGCATTGAGTGTGAAGTCTGTAAGTTAACAGTATCCCAGCTAAAGTGGGCATTGAGTCTGTAAGTAAGCACTATACGTTTATATTTGCATTTAAGTTTACTTTAGCATTATTTTGAGTTATTGTTTGCGTTTAGGTTTGCGTTTGTATTTCTATTTGTATTTGTGTTTGTGTTTTCATTTGCGTTTTCGTTTGTGTTTGTGTTTATGCTTGATTTTTTGTATGTGTTTTCTTTGTGTTTGGGTTTGGGTTAGCGTTAGTGGTTGGGTTTGTGTTTGTGTTTTCTTTGTGTTTTTTATTTTGTTTGTGTTTGCGTTAGTGGTTTTATGCATTACTAAACCTTTCATCCGATCGCAGTAGTGTAACCGGGTGCTCCCGAGAACGCCCCTCTACGTTATTGACACCAGGGCAGTCTCAAGTGTGTTCTACCTCACTATTACGGAGCATGATAACGTACACTCAAGGCTTTCATACACCACGCACTAGAGCGTGCTGGGCGGTAGTGTGGGTAAACCCGTGCCCTGACAAACATGATCAAGAAATATAGCACAGGCAATGTTTGAATTTAAATAACTAAGTTTTAGAAAACATGATCACACCTCTAAGAATATAGGATTGGTAACGCATTGATGAAACCCTCTTAAAATAATTCGTCAGACTTTCTTCTAGGCCACTGACAACGCTCTGGGACGGGCACGCTATAGGCTTACCATAAATAGCCTAAGCTCTTAATTTTGCGCTAAGCGTTAATGACGGGGCAACAGGTGGATGATTTTATTCATCATGATTACACCGAACAAGAAATTAACTGAACATATTATGTTAATTAATTGTTGCAAACAGATGTAATTGAAAACAAAGTCTGGAATTGATATATATAATGCATTCATCAGCTTAATGCATCATAATTTGTCGCATAATTGTCTATTTCAATACGTTATATAAGTTAATGTGAGATAAATAATCATTTATTTTAATTTGTTATGTATGTTGCGAAATGACATGGAAGGTATTACTGAAGTTTTTAAAAAAATATGTGGTATGTAGAAAAATGCGTCCGGTTCAACGGGTGAATCAAACACCTGTGGTCTAAGGTCGAGTCTGATCGGTTGAATGCGAAAACAATTTAAAAATATAATGTTTAGCGGCCTAACAAAAATTCCTATAGGGTATCAGCTTTCAAGTGCTAGTGTTGGCCCCAGGGCACATCGTAGAGTACACATCATTGAATTGTACATTGTTTAAACTTAGTAGAATGTGTAGTCTCCTCAATTTGTTGACAGTGGTCAAGTGTGAGTTCTTCAATGCTGGAGGTTGTTTTAGAGTGTACATTGTCTAAGTTTCCTCCATTTGTTGCCAGTGGTCAAGTGTGAGTTCTTCAATGCCGGAGGTTGTTTTAGTGTGTACATTGTCTAAGTCTCATCCATTTGTTGCCAGTGGTCAAGTGTGAGTTCTTCAATGCTGGAGGTTGTTTTAGAGTGTACATTGTCTAAGTCTCCTCCATTTGTTGCCAGTGGTCAAGTGTGAGTTCTTCAATGCTGGAGGTTGTTTTAGTGTGTACATTGTCTAAGTCTCCTCCATATGTTGCCAGTGGTCAAGTGTGAGTTCTTTAATGCCGGAGGTTGTTTTAGTGTGTACATTGTCTAAGTTTCCTCCATTTGTTGCCAGTGGTCAAGTGTGAGTTCTTCAATGCCGGAGGTTGTTTTAGTGTGTACATTGTCTAAGTCTCGTCCATTTGTTGCCAGCAGTCCAGTGTGAGTTCTTCAATGCTGGAGGTTGTTTTAGTGTGTACATTGTCTAAGTCTCCTCCATTTGTTGCCAGTGGTCAAGTGTGAGTTCTTCAATGCTGGAGGTTGTTTTAGTGTGTACATTGTCTAAGTCAAGTCTCGTCCATTTGTTGCCAGTGGTCAAGTGTGAGTTCTTCAATGCTGGAGGTTGTTTTAGTGTGTACATTGTCTAAGTCTCCTCCATTTGTTGCCAGTGGTCAAGTGTGAGTTCTTCTATGCTGGAGGTTGTTTTAGTGTGTACATTGTCTAAGTCTCCTCCATATGTTGCCAGTGGTCAAGTGTGAGTTCTTCAATGCCGGAGGTTGTTTTAGTGTGTACATTGTCTAAGTTTCCTCCATTTGTTGCCAGTGGTCAAGTGTGAGTTCTTCAATGCCGGAGGTTGTTTTAGTGTGTACATTGTCTAAGTCTCGTCCATTTGTTGCCAGCAGTCAAGGGTGAGTTCTTCAATGCTGGAGGTTGTTTTAGTGTGTACATTGTCTAAGTCTCCTCCATTTGTTGTCAGTGGTCAAGTGTGAGTTCTTCAATGCTGGAGGTTGTTTTAGTGTGTACATTGTCTAAGTCAAGTCTCGTCCATTTGTTGCCAGTGGTCAAGTGTGAGTTCTTCAATGCTGGAGGTTGTTTTAGTGTGTACATTGTCTAAGTCTCCTCCATTTGTTGCCAGTGGTCAAGTGTGAGTTCTTTAATGCTGGAGGTTGTTTTAGTGTGTACATTGTCTAAGTCTCGTCCATTTGTTGCCAGTGGTCAAGTGTGAGTTCTTCAATGCTGGAGGTTGTTTTAGTGTGTACATTGTCTAAGTCAAGTCTCCTCCATGTGTTGCCAGTGGTCAAGTGTGAGTTCTTCAATGCTGGAGGTTGTTTTAGTGTGTACATTGTCTAAGTCAAGTCTCCTCCATGTGTTGCCAGTGGTCAAGTGTGAGTTCTTCAATGCTGGAGGTTGTTTTAGTGTGTACATTGTCTAAGTCTCCTCCATTTGTTGCCAGTGGTCAAGTGTGAGTTCTTCAATGCCGGAGGTTGTTTTAGTGTGTAAATTGTTCAAGTCTCCTCCATTTGTTGCCAGTGGTCAAGTGTGAGTTCTTCAATGCCGGAGGTTGTTTTAGTGTGTACATTGTCTTAGTCTCGTCCATTTGTTGCCAGTGGTCAAGTGTGAGTTCTTCAATGCTGGAGGTTGTTTTAGTGTGTACATTGTCTAAGTCAAGTCTCCTCCATGTGTTGCCAGTGGTCAAGTGTGAGTTCTTCAATGCTGGAGGTTGTTTTAGTGTGTACATTGTCTAAGTCTCCTCCATTTGTTACCAGTGGTCAAGTGTGAGTTCTTCAATGCCGGAGGTTGTTTTAGTGTGTACATTGTCTAAGTCTCCTCCATTTATTGCCAGTGGTCAAGTGTGAGTTCTTCAATGCTGGAGGTTGTTTTAGTGTGTACATTGTCTAAGTCTCCTCCATTTGTTGCCAGTGGTCAAGTTTGAGTTCTTCAATGCTGGAGGTTGTTTTAGTGTGTACATTGTCTAAGTCTCCTCCATGTGTTGCCAGTGGTCAAGTGTGAGTTCTTCAATGCTGGAGGTTGTTTTAGTGTGTACATAGTCTAAGTCTCCTCCATGTGTTGCCAGTGGTCAAGTGTGAGTTCTTCAATGCCGGAGGTTGTTTTAGTGTGTACATTGTCTAAGTCTCCTCCATGTGTTGCCAGTGGTCAAGTGTGAGTTCTTCAATGCCGGAGGTTGTTTTAGTGTGTACATTGTCTAAGTCTCCTCTATGTGTTGCCAGTGGTCAAGTGTGAGTTCTTCAATGCTGGAGGTTGTTTTAGTGTGTACATTGTCTAAGTCTCCTCTATGTGTTGCCAGTTATCAAGTGTGAGTTCTTCAATGCTGGAGGTTGTTTTAGTGTGTACATTGTCTAAGTCTCCTCTATGTGTTGCCAGTTATCAAGTGTGAGTTCTTCAATGCTGGAGGTTGTTTAGTGTGTACATTGTCTAAGTCTCCTCCATGTGTTGCCAGTGGTCAAGTGTGAGTTCTTCAATGCTGGAGGTTGTTTTAGTGTGTACATTGTCTAAGTCTCCTCCATTTGTTGCCAGTGGTCAAGTGTGAGTTCTTCAATGCTGGAGGTTCAGTCAAAGACAGGATTGGTCTGAGGATGGTGGAAGATGCTGAGAAGAGTGGCCAGATCAAACCTGGTGATGTCCTCATTGAGCCAACCTCAGGGAACACGGGTATGTCTAACCCCATTGATTGGGGTTGTAGGTCCATACTCAGAGTGTGTTTAACCCCATTGGTTGGTGGAGGAAGATCCATAATCTGTGTATATTTAACCACATTGGTGGGGGATGGTTGGTTAACTGTTAGAAGCCTAACTTAGAAGCTAAGGGCAGATATTACCCTATTACCCCCCCCCCCCCATTCTATAGGGGGGGGGTAACTGGTCCAATCTCAGGGTGTATCTAGCCCCATTGGTAGGGGATCAACTTGCTCAGCAAGGTACATCTAGCCATCATGGGTTGGAGTTGATGGTCAATCCTCACGATATATCTAACCATATTGATGAAGATGGTGGACTCTTCTAGGGTATGTCAAGGACACACGACTGAAATATATAAATCTTGTAAAGATTTTTTTTTAAAATTACCCTTGGTACGAAACATTATTGACACCGCTTACTTGTAGCATCTATATATCTAACACGGTTTATTAAGATTGAGCTAGTAACATCTGTGGACTTTTTTATTTCCAGGTATTGGTCTGGCACTAGCAGCAGCTGTGAAAGGCTACAGGTGTATCATTGTGATGCCAGAGAAAATGAGTATGGAGAAGGTAAGTTTATGTTTGCAAGTCTGTAGTTTAACACTTGACAACAGACATAGTGTTGGGAATATTATAACCGTAGTCAATATTTTAACACATTTGTAAAGATATTATTTCCGTTTGCGTTCTAATTTTGAAAAGTTTGAAATATTTAAAAGTTATTAAAATTTTTTTATATTTTTATATAACAGAAAACCATGTTTTATTTCACTTAATTTAATATAGACTTTAATATTAAAGACAATTTTACCATCGAACGAATCCGAAGTAAAGTGTGAATGTAAAGTAAATAGTGCATGTCAGAAAGGGAAGTTCCTCTAATAAACACCACGCCATTAAAATAGACAGAGTTAACTTTCCCTCCAGGTTGATGTACTGAGGGCCCTGGGTGCTGAGATTGTCCGTACACCCACCAGCGCGTCCTTTGATTCCCCCGAGTCACACATTGGTGTAGCCAAACGTCTGATGGAGGAAATACAAAACTCTCACATACTGGACCAGGTCATTTACATTTTTTGTTTTGTGAAACATTCAAATACTTGACCAGGTCATTCACATTTTTTTGTTTTGTGAAACATTCACATTTTAGTGTTGTGAAACATTCACATACTGGACCAGGTCATTCACATTTTTCGTTTTGTGAAACATTCACATTTTTTGTTTTGTGAAACATTCACATACTGGACCAGGTTATTCACATTTTTTGTTTTGTGAAACATTCACATACTGGACCAAGTCATTCACATTTTTTGTTTTTTGAAACATTCACATACTGGACCAAGTCATTCACATTTTTTGTTTGGTGAAACATTCACATACTGGACCAAGTCATTCACATTTTTTGTTTGGTGAAACATTCACATTTTTGTTTTTTGAAACATTCACATACTGGACCAAGTCATTCACATTTTTTGTTTGTTGAAACATTCACATACTGGACCAAGTCATTCACATTTTTTGTTTGGTGAAACATTCACATACTGGACCAAGTCATTCACATTTTTTGTTTGTTGAAACATTCACATACTGGACCAAGTCATTCACATTTTTTGTTTGGTGAAACATTCACATTTTTGTTTTTTGAAACATTCACATACTGGACCAAGTCATTCACATTTTTTGTTTGTTGAAACATTCACATACTGGACCAAGTCATTCACATTTTTTGTTTGGTGAAACATTCACATACTGGACCAAGTCATTCACATTTTTTGTTTGGTGAAACATTCACATACTGGACCAAGTCATTCACATTTTTTTTGTTTTGTGAAACATTCACATTTTTTGTTTTGTGAAACATTCAACATACTTGACCAGGTCATGCAAATTGTTTGTTATGTGAAACATTCACATTTTAGTGTTGTGAAACATTCTTTTAATTTTGTGTTTTGTGAAGCATTCACATACTGAAAAAGTTCATTCACATTTCCTTTTGTGATTCATTCACATAATGGACCAAGTTATAATTATTAGTAGTCTGATTAATGAACTACCAAACTTTTACAAACTTAACCAGGTAATTTTACGTTATCTGCCTCATTAAAAAAATCAAAACTCTCACAAATTTAAGAAGCACAAGAGGGATTTTAAAATGTTGACAATGTGGCTAAATGTAAAGATGGTCACTGGTGGTAAATGCTAATGTTATCATTACAAGTATAAATCAAATTTATAGTCAAATAACATTAAAATAAATTTAAAATAAATTGTTCTTTCAAGTTCTCCTACACTAGATTACTTTATTAAATTACTAATTAGTTCACTAAAAACTATTTTTGATAACATACACTAATTTGCTGCTAATCTTTAGATGCCAATTTTTAATTAAGAAACATAACCCTCAATTTTTTAAATGTTTACAGCACCGTAATCCCAGCAACCCACTGTCACATTTTGATTCAACAGCTGAGGAAATTATTGACAGCTGTGAAGGTAAACTAAGTTACTGTAACACATTGACCATTTAGAGTTTTTTAGTAATTACATTTAGTAAGAGCTTAAACAATGAAACGTATCCATTGTATTTAAAATTAGAGTAGGCTTTTGTATCTATTAAACATTAAATCTCTGATTTACATAAATTTAAACATAAATTTATGTTTTAATGCATGTCTTTGTGTAACCATAATCTAAAACTTACAGATGTGATTGGTTGTGAGTGGAATTACTTAAAAGAAAGTACAAATAAAAAATTGGACCTAAATAAAAAATTGTCAATTATTGTAAATATTGTAAACCCATTATCTGGAATGTTGTATATTTTAATAGTCTTTGTTTTTGGATAAAAGGTAAGTTTGGATATTGCTTGCTAGGATTAATTTACTTTTGTATTTTTGAATATTACTTTCTAGGTTTAATTCAAGTTTTTTGTATGCTTGAATATTGAATGTTTTGGACTTAGTGGGACAGATCTTAACCTAATTGCCAAACAACATAAATTTCCTTTCACAAATTTTTTCACACAGTCTTTTCACACAATGAGCATTGACCAAAAAAAAACTGGATCATTCTCTTGATTATAAAATTATACTTGTTATTCAAAGGTAAACTGGACATGATTGTGATGGCAGCTGGCACCGGTGGGACGTTGACCGGCATCTCACGTAAGATCAAATCCAAGTGTCCAGACTGTAAGGTAACAATTTACCCCATTTTCTATTTCCTTCTTTCAGATTAAAAAAAAACAAACACATATAAATGAGGAACATTTTATTTTAAAATACAAACAATCCAATATATATTTAAAAAAAAAAATTATTTTACATTATTTATTAATATTATTTTGTTAATTCTTGAATCCAATTTTTAATGTCTGGCTTGTCATTTTCTCTTTGCTTCTGTTCAGACCCAAATAACAAACACATTTAAATAAGGAACATTTTATTTTAAATTTAAAAATTCCAATTTATATTTTTAAAAACAATATAAAAATAATATTTTACATTATTTATTAATATTATTTTGTTAATTCTTGAATCCAATTTTTAAAATATCTAACAGGTTATTTGTGTGGATCCTGCAGGTTCTATACTAGCCCAGCCAGAGTCTTTGAATAAAAGTGACATCTCATTTTATGAAATTGAGGGTATAGGCTACGACTTTATCCCTACAGTTTTATCAAGAGAGGTAAGGCACTGTGTTTGTGATTCAAAATACAAGGGCTCTGCTTTATTTAACTTTATAAGGCAACTTGTTGAATGACTGGTTTTATTTACAACTGGTGTGAACAAATCAATTGTTTACAGTATGTGGACAAGTGGTACAAGAGTGTGGACAAAGAATCATTTATCATGTCCAGGAGGTTAATCAGAGAGGAGGGGCTCTTGTGTGGTCAGTCTTTTAAGCTCTATGCCCTTGTGTGGTCAGTCTTTTAAGCTCTATAACATTGTGTGGTCAGTCTTTTAAGCTCTATAACATTCTTGTGTGGTCAGTCTTTTAAGCTCTACAACCCTTTTGTGTGGTCAGTCTTTTAAACTCTATAATACTCTAGTGTGGTCAGTCTTTTAAGCTCTATAATACTCTTGTGTGGTCAGTCTTTTAAGCACTATAACACTCTTGTGAAGTCAGCCTAAGTTCTATAACCCTCGTGTGGTCAGTCTTTTAAGCTCTATAACCCTCTTGTGTGGTCAGTCTTTTAAGCTCTATAAACCTTGAGTTTTTTAAGTATTTTCTTTCTAAAAAAATATTTTTTTCTCATATTAAAAAAAATGAAGAATACTTTTTTTTTAACTTGAGTAATTCATACACATTTTTTTTCTCTACAAACTGGAAATCGTATTTCTAAAATTAGAATATGTTAATTTAGTTGTTTTAAAATTGTTTAATAAAAAATGTGTTCCACATCAGGTGGAAGTTGTGGATCTGCTATGTACTGCGCTATTCAAGCCATTAAAGACTTTGGCCTGAAGAAAGGACAGCGCTGTGTGGTCATCCTACCAGACTCCATCAGGAACTACATGTACGAGATAGCTCAAGTAGTTTCATACAATTTTCAAATTAATTGTTTTAGTATATAAGTAAAGATTGTTCCCAGTGAGCAATGGATTGTTATGTGAACATTATGTCCAGCTTTCATTACTTTCCATGATAACAATTTTTAACCACAAGAGCATGGTGCACTCTATGACATCCTACTGACCTCTTGCAGTCCTAATGTACTGGTACACACAGCACTCACAAGATAGGGGAGTAAAAAGCAAAGAACCAAACTCTTACACAACTAACTAAACGAATCTATCCATACTTTCTTTTTTAGAAAAAATATATTATTTAATTTTAAAATTAGTAGCTGACATAATTTTTATAAAATGCTAAATAGATTTTCATTTTTTAATTCTAAAATTGCACAAGAGATGTTAATATAAATTTTCTTTGATGTCAGTTAAATGTAAATGAGTTAAATGTCAATCAGCTAAACGTAAATCACTTTTAAATACCAATAATGTGAAGGATAGAGACATTAAAAATAAGATCATGTAAAGAAGTGTTGACTGAGTTGTGACTGAGGCCAGTTATATTTATGTGATCAATCTGAAAGAGCTGTACTAATGTATGTTAGTACTACATATATGTGTTAGATTGTTATGCTTCATGTGGCCGATTGTTTTGATTCATGGTGCAGATTGTTCTGAAATCTAGTTTTTTATTATTATTATTTTGTACAGGTCCAAGTTTTTAAGTGATGACTGGATGAGCCAGAGAGATTTCTTGGAACTGGACCAGATGGAGCCATCTGAACATTGGTCAGTTTTTTTTAAACTTTAAAGTGCTAAATATAAAATGGACATTTAAAAAAAAATTTCATTAGTTAAGCTTTTTTTGAATAAAATTCGTAAGTTGATTTAATTAATATTCATCCATCCTAACCAACAGTTTAAGCAGTAAAGAGTATTAAGAGATTATTCAGATTTTGATAACATCAGTTATAAAAAAAACATAAATTTAGTTTTTGAAAGACTTTGATAGATGAGCCAATTGTTTTTTGGATAAAGTTAAATGTTTAGTGAGCTTACACTAAACATTTACAATCCAATGAAATCTGTAAATTTTAAACAGAATACATGTACATGCCACTAGGTAACAATAACAGACAAACATAATGTGTAAATACTGACTGTCCATTAATGCAGAGGCGTAGCGACCCTTCCCGGCGCCCGGGGACAAACTTTCAATTTGGCGCCCCCCTCGGGAGCAAACTTTCGATTTGCACCCCCCCCCCCCCCTCAAACTTTCGATTAGGACCCCCCCCCCCCCCAAACTATTTATAATGCAAAAATGCAGCTAAAATGACATTTTTATTTGTTTTTACAACACATTTTGGCGCCCCCTAAGGTCGGCGCCCGGGGACATATATACCCCCCTGACCCCCCATCGCTACGCCTCTGCATTAATGAAGTCACTCATTTTAAGCACATTTTTTAATCCTCCCGATTCAGGTTGTCACACAAAGGCACAAAAGCCAGACCTAACCACCTAACTGTAGTCTCACCTCCACCACCCGCCACCCCCATCCGCCCCAAATATTTGTTTTATTTTCATAAAGGGATATAAAAACCAAAGGATGATTTTTCGGAAATATTAATTGAGTAGTTTCCCGTTTTTTTTCTTTTTTTTTTTAAGAGTTCTGTCTATATAACATCAAAAACATATTTAGGGACCTAACGTATTTCTCTATAGATTACGTGTTTAAAAATAAGTTTTTACAATACATACTTAACCTTTGAAATACAAACTAGGATTTACACATGCAATACTTGTAATTACTCTTTGCATAGTGTTCTTCTAGACAAATTAAGAAATTAAACATTACTTAACAAACGTCAACGTAAACAATAATAAAACGTTAAAGTTTACAATGTTCACTGTAATTAAAAACGTAATTAAAATTTCTCGTGCGCATTGTCAATAAAAATAAATAGTTTAATGGATCGCAATTTTAAATGAGTTAATGAATAGTGTTTTATCGGATACTTTAATGAAGTTTTCAACTTAACTAAAAATTAAGCATTCTATAGTTCTGGTCTATGAATTTTAAGTAATCTGTTTGTAATATTACTGTAAATGTATCTAATGTAGACATGAAATTATACCTATATTTTCGGTATTTCAAATATTTTAAAAATGGCTTTTGGCAAATTTTAGCACAACATGTAGGCCTTAAAGTAAAAGAGATAAAATAATGTTAAGAATTGTTAGCTGACAAATGAAAGTTACTGTCCTTTAATTGAAAATATTGTTTTCTATTACTGTTTTTGTTTATCTATGTTTTCACTTTTAGACAGCACTTAATTAGCAGGCTATAATTCTAATAGTATTATTTATTTTGTTTTGTGTTGGTCCCATTTTAACAAATGGACATCTATTTTTAAATAATATGCGATTTTTCATTAACTGTACAAAATTCTTTAATCCACTAATGGCTAAAGGTAAAGTGTTTACTTACTTGTAAATCATTATAAAGTGTAGTTGGTGTTTACAATGTTCTAGATTGTTCTTTGTGTTTTGACACAGGTGGTCCAACTTAAAGGTCAGCTCTCTGAAGCTGTTAGCACCTTTGACTGTCATGCCCACAGTGACCATTCAGGAGACTCTTGACCTACTCAACAAGGAAGGTTTTGACCAGGTTCCTGTTGTGGATGAGTCAGGGTAGGTTAACAATACATTTGGTTTGATACAGGCTGTGTGGGAAATATACTTGTTGTATACAGTTAATACAACATTTGGTTTGACACAGGCTGTATGGGAAATATACTTGTTGTATACAGTTAATACAACATTTGGTTTGATACAGGCTGTATGAAAAATATACTTGTTGTATACAGTTAATACAACATTTGGTTTGATACAGGCTGTATGGGAAATATACTTGTTGTATACAGTTAATACAACATTTGGTTTGATACAGGCTGTATGAGAAATATACTTGTTGTATACAGTTAATACAACATTTGGTTTGATACAGGCTGTATGAAAAATATACTTGTTGTATACAGTTAATACAACATTTGGTTTGATACAGGCTGTATGGGGAAATATACTTGTTGTATACAGTTTATAGAACATTTGGTTTGATACAGGCTGTATGAGAAATATACTTGTACCAGTTAATACAACATTTGGTTTGATACAGGCTGTATGGGAAATATACTTGTTGTATACAGTTTATAGAACATTTGGTTTGATACAGGCTGTATTGGAAATATACTTGTTGTATACAGTTAATACAACATTTGGTTTGATACAGGCTGTATGGGAAATATACTTGTTGTATACAGTTAATACAACATTTGGTTTGATACAGGCTGTATTGGAAATATACTTGTTGTATACAGTTAATACAACATTTGGTTTGATACAGGCTGTATGGGAAATATACTTGTTGTATACAGTTAATACAACATTTGGTTTGATACAGGCTGTTTGGGAAATATACTTGTTGTATACAGTTAATACAACATTTGGTTTGATACAGGCTGTATTGGAAATATACTTGTTGTATACAGTTAATACAACATTTGGTTTGATACAGGCTGTATGGGAAATATACTTGTTGTATACAGTTAATACAACATTTGGTTTGATACAGGCTGTTTGGGAAATATACTTGTTGTATACAGTTTATAGAACATTTGGTTTGATACAGGCTGTATTGGAAATATACTTGTTGTATACAGTTAATACAACATTTGGTTTGATACAGGCTGTATGGGAAATATACTTGTTGTATACAGTTAATACAACATTTGGTTTGATACAGGTTGTATGGGAAATATACTTGTTGTATACAGTTAATACAACATTTGGTTTGATACAGGCTGTATGGGAAATATACTTGTTGTATACAGTTAATACATTTGGTTTGATACAGGCTGTATGGGAAATATACTTGTTGTATACAGTTAATACAACATTTGGTTTGATACAGGCTGTTTGGGAAATACAATTGTTGTATACAGTTAATACAACATTAGGCTTGATGTTAGTGTACTCTCTAGTTGAGCTGGATACATTCTACAAAAAAAGGAAATGTTTTTCACAAACCAGGGAATGTTAGTGTTGTGTCTGTTCAGCTTGATATAGTTTTCTCAAGTAAGGGTCTTGTTATTCCAACTGTTCAGTTTGATATAGTTTTCTCAACTAAGGGTCTAGTTATTCCAACTGTTCAGCTTGATATAGTTTTCTCAACTAAGGGTCTAGTTATTCCAAGTGTTTAGTTAAGGTTGACCTTGTGTCGGTGGATTGAAATAACATTACAACATGCCCTGTGTTTTGGAAACTTTGGATTGTTTATTAACTGTCATTTATAATATGTTATATAATATTTGTATAGTAGCAAAATTAAAATTCAGCCTCATACATAAGCTTAGATTCCCTAATTATTAATCTATGACATTGAAAGCAGTCATGTGAATGTAGATAGATAAATCTTCATGACTTCAGCTTGTATGAGAACTATGGTGTTTGTAGAAGGATGAAATCCTAATGACAGTTTGTGAACTGCTGTGTTTGTAGAGTAGATTTGATGTGCCAGATTTTGTGCTGAACATTTTTTTTCTCACATGCCAGTTTGTGAACTGCTGTGTTTGTAGAGTAGATTTGATGTGCCAGATTTTGTGCTGAACATTTTTTTCATCTCATGACAGTTTGTGAACTGCTGTGTTTGTAGAGTAGATTTGATGTGCCAGATTTTGTGCTGAACATTTTTTTTCTCACATGCCAGTTTGTGAACTGCTGTGTTTGTAGAGTAGATTTGATGTGCCAGATTTTGTGCTAAACATTTTTTTCTCACATGACAGAGGCATTCTGGGAATGGTGACAGTTAGCAACATGATGTCACAGATAGTGAAAAACAAAGTCAACCGTGGTGACCCCGTGTCAAAGGTCATGTACAAACAGTTCAAACAGGTGAGTCTGGGTTGAACATGGCGCTGTGTGTTAAACTTTTGGTGACTAGGTTAAACTTTTGGCGACTGGGTTAAACAGTTGAACATGGTGCTGTGTGTTAAACTTTTGGTGACTAGGTTAAACTTTTGGTGACTAGGTTAAACTTTTGGTGACTAGGTTGTAATGTATGGGTAAACATTGCATTGCATTACCCTTCTGGGTAATATTGTAGTGTGTATAAAACCTTTAAAAATCAAAACACAGTTTGATGGGTATCAGCTCAACTGATAAAAAGTTTTAAATGTACCTTACATTAAAATAAATGTAATATTATATTTTTAAAAGATTGTTAAACCACTAGTAATATAAAACATTTGGTGTATGCAAAATTAGGAATCAACTCAAGCTGAATAATTTAATTTTACATACATACACATGTAAAAGGGTTACATTATAAAAGGGATGAATATTCAATTTGTTAAAAATCTGAAAGGAGGATTGAACAGCAGAATCTTTTCTCAATGTTTGGAATCATTTTGTTCCCTACAGCTTCTCAAGTTTATTTTGATTTTAATGTGTCTGCAGGTCCATATGGATACATCCCTCGGGCAGCTGTCGCGGATGTTGGATACAGATCATTTTGTTCTGGTTGTTCATAACCAAAGACAATGTAAGTGTAAGGGTTGGTAGTTGTACATAACCAAACACAATGTAAGTGTAAGGGCTGGTAATTGTTACCAACAGAACTCAGTGTTTACTTATCTTTGGCATTAAATGTTGCAGTATTAATCTTATCCCTTGAATAGATGTTTCAACTTGTAGTACCTGTTGATGCTACACCACCCCCCTCCCCCTCACCTTCTCTCTACAGCCCCCTCCTTTGATATTTCTGTAGATGGCGCTGGTGGTAAAGTTGAGAGCAAGCAGATGATCTTTGGCATTGCAACAAGAATAGATCTCTTAAACTTCATCACCAAAGACACTCAGGAACCATAACTCATCATCTTTCTAATTGCAACATTTTGTTTTGATCCTATCATTTTTAGTGTACTTTGCTTGAGAGGGTATTTTGATGTTTTATTATAAACTAGACGACCCAGTTTCCTGTTTGGAAATGGTCTGCCGGCTGTATAGCACAACACAAACCAATATCCCACTACGCCCACCCAACCCTTTATAAAGCCTTTTAATCCCAAATGAATCCCTTTTTTATACCCAAACTGTCGCCCATATTTTGTTGGGACATTAATTTATGGCATACATGAGGAATGGGGGGGGGGAGGTCGTAGGGAAGTCGAGTTTTGTGGATGGCGGAGGAAGGGCTGAGTTTATGGAGGCTGGAATATGGCGGAGCGAGTTTTAAAATTGTGTTCATTCGCGAAGTGTCCTCATGTTCCACAGCAAGCCTCAAGAATTTAGAAGAAGTAAGAAGAATATTTTGTGATGTTATATATTCCATTTCGAATTATTTCTCCTATCCATCCCCCATTTTCTTTCTCCCATTTCGTATTCTACCAATAGGTATCTGTACATCTCCCTTAGATCATGGTATAGTCTTTCGCTTACTTTTTTTGTACTTTGCTAGTTATGGTATTTTCATGTGTTATTGCAAAGCATTGGAGTATTCTATAACAGAGAAGTTTAAATGAGAGTGTCGATCAACAACTAGAATATTTTTAAGTAAAATAGGTTAGGTTCTGAAATTAAGATACAAATGCATATAAAAAATGTATTATTTAAAATTGTATTGATATCTTTTAATTAAAATTTCGGACATGGAAAGATTCATATCGAATTTCTCTGCTGCTGAAATTAACAAGAAAAACAAACGTGTTTACTGTAAATTTAAACAAAATAGTAATTTTAAAACCTCCGATTATTTTGTGTTTTTCATAATACCCTAAAAACCAGTAGGTCGTATATTTAAAACGTAAAATACTATATCCAATAAATAATACTAATTAAGGATTTAAACGATAATTAAGTTCGGTAAAAATCTAATGAAACTGAATAAATTTGCTTAATTGTTTCTTTTATTTTCTAATTTTAGTGCATTTAAAAACTTAATTTTATAAAGGTTTTTTTTTTTTATTTTGAATACGGAATTTTAAAGTTTATAAAGACTTGTAATCTTAACTGTAAAGAACGATTATCGGCTTGTCTCTTAGGTATAAAAAAACTAAATCTTTAATATCCCATTATGTCTTAAAGCAGTATTTATGTTACTAAATACGATTTATTTTGTTTTAAATATTCTTGCTTTGTCATTGGACTAAGATTTATCTGGCAACCACATAACAGAATTGTGGATAAGGTCAAATGTGAACACGCTGACACATCGCTCATGTCCAGTCACGCGCGTCACGTGACATAAAAACCTAACCACACACTTGCAACAAAACACTAGTCAAACAAAACAAAGGCTTGTTTGATGTATAAATAATAGGCCTAATAGTTTTAAAACTTATGAACTATCTACACAGAAAATAATAATCATTAAAAAAGTTTTAAAAAACCCACGTTTTCTGATTGAACTAAAAAGTAGAAAATAAATACTATACATCACAATAATGCAAGCGATCACTCTACTATAAGCGATGAAAAACGCTTAGATAACAACAATAAGCCAAACACGTAAAATCATTCTTTTACAACAATACCACAAATCCACACACCCACAGATATTGTTACCTTACTAAAAAGCTTGTTAAAATTACATTTGGCTCAATGACTATTTAGTTTTGTAATTTTTTAATTTCTTTCTTTTGTTTGTAAATGTTTGTTTTATTAAGTAATATAATATGAAGTTACACGTGTTTTATTAGCTTGTTGCACTATATTATCTATTGTATTCCTTTATTAAAATTTTGGAAGAGATCCACGCTTTTCTTTATAGTCATTTAAACAGTAGTGTATTATTATATAGGCTATTTAAAGAAAATCTTTTAGTTTCTCATTTTTAGTGCATAATTATCTAGCAGGTAGTTATTAAAACGTTTTTGTGAATTTTTAAATGGGTTGTTTTATTAAGCTGCTTGATATGAGGTAAAGATTTTATCTGGCGCGTGATTTAATAGCAAGGACGTGAACTTTGATTCAACCAAGCATGACGCCACTGGAAAACCCCATGAATAAAATGTAAATAATCTTAGGTCGTAGTCGATAAGCAGGATATGACGCATAGTTGACCCGGTTGCCGGTTTTCTGGAAATTTTTAGCTGAGGTCATGAAATGTGAGACTTAAGTGGCAGTGGCGTAGGCAGGGGGGGGGGGGGGCTAGGGGGTCATAACCCCCCCCCCCCCCCCATAGACCTTTCGGTATATATATAAAAAGTATGAGGGGGTGCAAATCGAAAGTTTGAGGGGGGGGGGGTGGTGCAAATCGAAAGTTTGAGGGGGGGGGGTGCAAATCGAAAGTTTTGGGGGAGGTGCAAATCGAAAGTTTGTCCCCGGGTAAAAATTGGACCCCCCCCTTGAGACGATCCTGGCTACGCCACTGTTAAGTGGTGACAAAACTGAAATGATTGCACGCTCGTATCTAGGTCGGGAACATAGGGGATGTACGTAGTCTAAATTTAAAAAAAAAAATCTTAATACAACACAGGTACAACACGGTTAATGTGGTACAAGTCAATAGTCAATATATAACTAACGTTAGTGTACACATGCGTGGGGTTGGTCAAAATGCATGAAGCATGTACTCTATAGCAAACAGTTATAATAACAGGATGTAACATCAATAAGCAAAGAAAATTACAAGTACAAGAGTCGCTCCGAAACATGGCCTTCTAAACGAAGTGTGAACCGCGTGGTAGCGCGGTAGAGCATGCGGCTGCTAACATGAAAGTCTCGAGTTCGGATATCAAGCTTGAGTACGTAGAGTCCACCAAGCTATGTAGCGTACCTGACGTTAGAGAAAGTAGTTGAGGTCGGACATAGTGCTGTAAATACTACTGATCTATATGCCGACACTGTAGAGATGGTGTGAGCTCTTCTTCATTTGCCCCATGGATCGCAAAATGTGAGCATGCGGCTGCCAACACGAAAGTCTCGAGTTCGGATATCAAGCTCGAGTAGACTCCACCAAGCTATGTAGGGTAACTGACGTTAGAAAAAGTAGTTGCGGCCGTACATAGTGCTGTCAATACTATTGATTCATATGCCGACACTGTAGAGATGGTGTGAGCTCTTCTTCATTTGCCCCATGGATCGCAAAATGTGACTACTTGACACAACAGAGTTGTCAAAGACAAAAAATACAAAACACTATTGGATTTAGCTTGTCTAAAGACCACGATAGACAACGTATTGGGGCAGAGGTTGCATGAGTTGTGTTCTTAGGTAAAAGATGAAAGATAGCTGTTCATTTGACCCAACATTTGCATGACTGGTAAAAAAGTAGTATGTACTATGACTCTGTATTCAGCCGCTTTAGTAAAAATTCTAACAGTATCGGACAGCTTTCAAGTTTTTAATTAATGCTTTAACCCTGTTGTGTTTGGTAATTTTTAAATGTTTAGACACATGAAGATTACTTGGGTTTTTTTTTCACGGGGGATCACTGAAAACAGACAGGTAATAAATTTCAAGGGTTTTAAACTGAAAAAAAACACCCAACAAAATAGAGCTAAGATATCACTAGATTGTTCAACAACAACAAAAATTGAAAAGCAAAAGAAATATTGAATTTTAATTTATTTTTATTTATAGAGGTAGGCTATTTAAAAGTGAATATCGGGAAACGTAAAACACGAAATAATAAGTGAAGAAAAATAATCCATCAATGCTCCATATAGTAAAACTGCCTTGACATTTCAATTTAGTATCCTAATTTTTGTTGTGTTGGAGATGGCAGAATTTTTTCATACGAGCTGACCCGCGGCGTATCATACGCCGCTATTTAGTTGTTTTATTTTCTACTTTTCAGTACTTCATAGTTAGTGAATTCGACACTACCCTCCCTTCCATCCCCCCTCCCCCGGGGCCACCGTGAAAGCAGCAGTTCGTGACGACAGTTTATGGACGACAATGAAAAGATCAAGCAGAACTTCTTATCTCTCCTTAGTTTCAAATAGTTAAAAAGCTAAATTATCTGCCTCTAATAGCCGTTACTTATTCGACCCGGCTCTACGATTGTAAACCTTCGGGGTGAACCTTAGCTAACCAGAATAGTGGGGGTGTGGTAGCTATATGGCTAGAGATCGGGGAGTAACGACGTGCGTTTATATGGTGGTGTCTCGCATGGTCCCCATGAAGAGAATTATATATATAAATGAGTCGCAGAACTGCGAAAGCGCAGCGGGCTCTATTATTAATTCTAGCACGTATGTCCTCCTCTGTGCCTCCCGATTTGCTGATCTTGCTGCCTAGATAGAAACACTCTTCCACATCATTTACATGTCTTCCGTCTATTATTACAGCAATAATCGCGAAGTCCCCAAGAACGACACTACACTGTGCTACAACATAATATAACAGCTCCATTCATGCGGGACACTCGGATTGTGTTACCTGTCTGTTCTTAAAGACGAAAACATCCGTACAGGGTGTTGTAAAGGTGTATTGCGTTTGACTGCGACCTTGCTGAGACAGGCAACTTCATTGTATCCTGTCGTGTGTCTTGTCTTCATACGAGGACTACAAGGTTAACCTAAAAATTCTGGTATCGCCCAAGCAATTTTTTACGGCTATTGAACCGTACGGATCACTAGAGATATTTATTCATTGGTAGAACACAATTTTACACTCAAAGAAGTAGCTACTATAAGCCTACTAAAACTTTATTATGTTATTGAATGCTACGAGCATGCTTGAAATAAAAGCGACACTTTAGTTACAACAGTGAACATAAGGTTTTGAAATGCAGGTTAGCCCATGGGGTAGATGTAGAATGTTATTTTGTTGAATTCACATTTAGTAATCGACCAATTTACATCTTCATCATCATTTTTCCTTTTCATTCCTCGCGGAGCAGAGGACCTCTGTCAAAGCTTTCCTCTCTCCACCATCTCCTGTTACTCTCTTCAGCTGTTCTCAATTCCTTCCTTTCTGTCGGCTTCCTCCAACACGCTCTTTTGTCATGTCTTCATGGGCCGACCCATTCGACGCTTGCCCTGTGCCTGTATAGATCTGTTGTCCAAACCATCGCCATTTCATCTCCATGCTTTGCCATTTTATTGTTTCCTGTCCATACGTCTTCCATATGTAATCGACCAAGTTTGACGTAAAAAAAAACCCCACAAAAAATAGTTAAATATAGCTCATGGCGCTGGCTGGTCGCGGTATCTGGTTAAGTAGGTCAAGGTGACGGATAGAAATGGGTTTAATCGTGGGTTAACGAACGTGGTGTGTAACAACTGAAATATTATAACAGGCGTCTATATTGTGGGGAATGCATGTGTCATGAACAGTATTCCAATACGAAAGCAATATCAGTTGTTAAATATTATAGGCTTATTGTAAGGCGGAATGTCTACTTAATACATTTTTCATGGAGACAATTCACATTTTACAATAAAGCGAAATAAAAAGCATAATAAATTTTAACATCTGAGTATATTTATCTGTAAATATTAGTAATTAAAATAAAGTTTCCATTAAACAGCGAAACTCTCCAACTAAACAGGTGCAAACATTAAATATAAGATATATCACATTTATTAGTATGTTCTAATACTTCATACATAAGAAAACAAATACTTTTATGAAATCAGTAGTTAGAGATTCACCTGTCGTCGACAAATGTACAGTGACTTTATAAAACCCCCAGACCTTATAGACACTTTGCCTGACAATCTTTTATTACCTTTCGAGAAGTAATTTTATTGTTGGCAGTGATTCTCAACACATCGATAGGAGTTCAAAAACAAACTTGACAGCCACCGTAGTTCTTGATTTGGGTTACTTTGTTATAGCCATTCCCGTATATGGGCTAACAATAACAAAAACTTTTGAAACTCTATATATTTATGTGGTTAAACACACACACACACATATGGGTTCATATGAAGGACATATGTTCCCAGATGTCGACAAGGATCCATGTGTGGACAATTGATTTCTAAGGCAATGCAATCAAAACATCAATACATATTTTCCATAGGGCGCAGTCGTGTAGCTGAATAAAACTTTCCACTTTCATTTAACGTGATTAAATTGCCCCTCCTCCCCATAGACACACATACAAATACGCACACACTCAGCCATTATATTCTCGCGTGTTTACATATCCTGCATGAGGCGTGACCAGAATGGGAGCTAAAGGAGTGGAAGCTCTCAATGAAACAGTTTTCAGGAAGCGCAATTTCCTGCACTTAAAACTGTTTAAAATTTGAATTCAAGCAACTTTAAGAAACAAAATAAAGATTGTTTTGACTTTAGTATAGATTTTACAAATTAAATTTCACAACATTTGGAGCGTATTTGGTAACTAGACATAGAGATTGGTGGCTTTATTATTCGTTGACCGAATTCTGAAATAAAGTATACGTGACACGAGACACAGCATAGATTATAGCTGTTGGGGCTCTGGCTTGTCCACACTACCGACCAGACCCTGAAAGTCATGCAATATAAAACCAGTGAGAAAATAACCGAGGTAAGAAACATCTTTTACTACCGTAGGTGCATCGGTTTCTGCCTCTGATTCGGTTTAATTATCGTATGCCTTGTGCCACTGCGTCCCTGTTGTAAGCTGCTCTTTAAATCTTTAAAACGAATGTAGGCGCCATAGTGCTCATAGAAGGCGTGGGGGAGGCGGGGTAACCTGACCAACGGAGCGCCTGCGGACGTATCTGATTCGATTTAGTCTACGATTATAATAGCCCACGGTATCCATAGTGTATCGTCTTGAAAATAAACGTAGGCGCCACAGTGCTTACGGGGAATCCGGTGCGCCAAATCGCAGTCACCCGGGGTTCGCCACTCAAAAATTTAAATTTTGTCTTCGACAAACTTCCACAGGGGTGTTCTCAACGGCTTCCTAAAGTTTCATGGCGATGGGATAAAAATGTAGAGATACATAATAGACAGACAGAAAGATTTCATGATAAAATGTACATAATTAGATTTCTAAGTGTTCGATTAACATAGATGGGGTGGATACCTAAACTTACATTCCACCGTTGATTTGATATCAGGACGTCACATAATTATTATAAAGATCTCAAATTATTACAGCAAAAGAATCCATAACCAAATATTTTTAAAATGTGTTTAAATTTTAATTTTAGATCATTTCCATGACTATAAAATGCATCAGCAATAAACAAAAAATTAAGGTAAAACGAACACATTTTTTTAATGGTAATACAGTTACATTTCTTTTTATTTGAAAAAATAAGCCTTCATGTATTCAATGAAATTTGATAGTAGTATTTATGCGATAGTAAGAAAAAATATATAATGTTTTAAGTTATACAGACACTATACAAATAAATTTACAATTATCCGTACTCTTAAAGCTTCCACCAACTCATTTTTCGTTGGAAATTTTTTACATGAGCATCCTCAAAAGCAGTAAGCCAATCAACAGAAAGGCGATGATACATCTTGTCTTCAATGAACGAAATAACACGATTTTAGCCATAAAGTACGGTTACTTGACTGCAGTTGATAATTGAACAATTATCATACATAATTCTTATTTTAATCAATGATAATTTGCAAACTGCCAGTCATCTTTACACACGAACAAATAGCTCATGTCACTCGGTAAATGATTTTTCGTATAGAGGCTTTTAAATCAGCCAAAAGAACAGTTTTAAAATATAAACACCAAATGTAAACAACATGCACACATCAGAAATTATATTTTTAAAGATAAAATTGTCCTTTATTTTTACAAGCTTTTATTTAACTCACTTCCTCTGTCGACAGTCTGTCTGTCTAGACGGAAACGCAGGAGTGAAAATTCGGACAGTTCTACTTGACCGATACGATTCACAGTTGGCACGTGGGTCAAGACATGAAGACAATGCAATCTGAATCTAAATTTGACTTAATTGGATGCCTAATTAATTTTTTATGAATTAATTAAAATTTGGACCGAATTAGTAGGCATGTCTAGCCAACCACACCACACGCGTCATCACCTTCAATAGCTGTGCCATCACGTAATGGCTGCGTTCAAAAACCATTGCGCGCCTACTGAACGTGATGTTCAGTAGGCGCGCAATGGTTTTTAGTCATGTAACTCTATTGTAAATAAAACATGTAAAGTACTGAAAAAAAATTCATAAAAAACGTTTTAATAACAAGCTTTTATGTAATGATGCACTAAAAAGTAGAAAATAAATTATAGACTACTATTTAAATAACTATAAAGAAAAGCGTGGGTGTCTTCCTTAACATTAGTAAAGGTATCCAATAGATACTAAAGTGACCCACGCTTTTCTTTATAGTTATTTAAATAGTAGTCTATAATTTATTTTCTACTTTTTAGTGCATCATTACATAAAAGCTTGTTATTAAAACGTTTTTTATGAATTTTTTTTATTGTAAAAATCTGAGGATAACAAAATTTAGTATATTGAGCCCGCATATTACAAATCTCAAATCACCACTCAATAAATATTTTATCATACAAAAACTCATCAATATTTGGTGTCAGCTGCCATAATGGAACTTCGAGGATATTATCTTCACCAATCGCGTTAATTAAATCCACATTTAGCTGTACGTTTCTTTCATAAAGTAGAAGCACCTTTCCCGGGTTGTCATGTGACATACTGTTCAACACCAGGGTGTAGAGCATCTGAAAATTATTGTCATGAAAAAACTCATCAGTTACAACTAGAATTACACGCCAGGTGGTGTTGATCTCAGCAAACAAATCTTCATATTCTGGACGTCCTGGCTCAAGATCTCTGAAGTCTCGAGTGTTTAGAAAAAAAGTTTGCTTTAAGTAGTTGCTTAAAACTGTAACAAAATTTTCGTTGGGAGATGAAACTATAAATACGTGGTTTTGAAAATCTGTTAATCTCCTACGTGGTACAGTGCCAAGTATTTGAGCAACATAAGCCACAATGTACAGCTTACACCGAATAACGACAAAAGACACCAAAAATATTATAGCGATGACGCACAGAATAACAACAGAGATATAAAGATATTGCTGACCAACACACTGACGCCAAAATGTACCAACATCCCAATGTTTATCTAGATGGGAATACAAACCAGATTCGTTGACACACATCAAAATGGAATCAAAATCTATTTCTACGATTGTTGTAAGAATCCATTTGATAAAACTGAAGTTCTCACAGCCACATGATAAAACGTTTCCGGCTAATCTTAAACTGAATTTTCCATTTTTCACAGCCAATTCATCAAGTTCCATTGTTATGGCTTCATCCAATGTCGAAATAGCATTTTCACTAAGGTCAAGTACCTGCAAGTTTGGTGTCAGCTTAAGGTTGAAAGGAATTTTAGTAAACCTATTAGTTGCCAGATAAAGTTCTGTCATGTTAGGGTTAGTAGAAAAAGTATTTTCAGCGAGAAAAGTCAGAGCATTTAAAGATAAATCTAGACGCTTCAGAGACTTTAAATTTCTAAAAATTCTTAAACTATTTAATTGAAAGTTATTTACGTCAAACCTGCAGTTTGCCAAAGCTAAATTTTCGACAGCTGAAATTGAGTCGAAAGATGTAGGAGAAAAAAACGCGAAATCATTTCCTGAACCTAATAAAGTTTTAAGCCCGGTCAAACCTTCACATTTACCATAACCTTGGTTAAATCCATTATCTCTTGCATCCACATACTCTACATTTTCCATTCCAACAAAAGAGATATTTATCTTCAACCAGCCGCTGTCAATAAATTTCAGTATGTTTAAATAATTTAATGATCCGGTGCCATAAAATATTAAACCTCTTATTTTTTTATCGTTTTGGTTTTTGTTAAATCTTTCATGTCTCCGTATATTAGTGACATTCTCTATACTATTGGTTTTATGCACTGAAATAATATCATTTTGACTTTGCTGTGTGTTCGACTGGAGTAGAGGCTTATTTTCACACAAATAGTTATTAGATAATTTAAACTTTGATGGTGTTGTAGGATAATTTATAATATTAAAGATGCAAATACTCTCTAAGCTTCTTAAAGTGAATAATCTGACAAAACCTATATTAGTTCCAATCCATCTATTTTCCGATAGGTCGAGATATTTCAGGCACAAATGCCATGTTTCACTAAATAAAGCATCCTGTTCCAGTATACGAAGAAAAGAACGAGTGAATTCAAATCTGCGGACACAAATTTGTAGAAGGTATTTTGTTTTTTCAGCATCGAGGACGCCATCTTGCATATGGTGACTAGAAACAGTTTCACGAGCAGCTAGGTAAACACTGTTTAAACTGATGACTGACATACTCCTGCCAACCAGAGGTTTGAAAATTTCTAGCACCTTCGCAGTTCCTAAGTGAGTCATAGATAATATAAACGTGTCTAACAATGGTAAATGTGTTAGGGCCATGTCGCTAAAGTTAGACAAAGAATAATAGCCGTATATTTCTAACACCGTCAGCTGATTCATTCTTATAAAAGTGTTTTCAATGATAGAACTCGAGCAAACCCACAAAACAAGTCTTTTGAGTCTAGCCTGATGGTTAAACTCTGGTCCAAAGTTGACCGTTTCTCCTACACTGTCTATAGAAAGAGTGGTCAGATTTGTTAGTGGACAAAGAAAACATGAGGGGTATTCACTCTTGGTGCAATCTTGATCTCGTTTCAGGTAGAGTTCCTTTAAATTAATGAGTGGAGAAAATATGCCGTCTGGATAGCTGTTGTTATCAAACTCCAGAGCATTATACTCTAGGTTTAAAACAGCCAGATATGTTAGGCCAGAAAATGCATTTGTATGCATCTTGTATATTTTATTTTTATTTATACTTAAAAAACGTAACTGTGTTAAGTTTTTAAACGTGTCGTTTTCTAATTCAGTCAAAAGATTGTGATCCAAGAAAATAACGGTTGTATTTAGAGGAAACCAACTTGAATTAACACGATCCAGTGAAAGACCCGTACAGTTTATGATGACGTCCAGTATGTTGTTTGTTTGCTGACAGGGTGTGTTCGTCAATTTGAACGTAGGATCTGTACTGTCGTGGTACGTCTGAAACTGACTGACACAGCAGAGAAAGAAAACCATCAGCACTGCGACAGAATGGTTCACCATGGTGACTGTGTTGTTATCCCGAAACCTGTTTGAGAAAAACAAAAGTAATTGTAATGTTATTGAATCTAGTGGTGGATGCAGGGAATATAAGTCAGAATATACTGCACCGCCCCAAATGGATTTAAAATGGCAGCTAACTATATGCGACTACCTAATTGCGATGCTTTTATTATAAAATTGTATTGTTACAAAACAACAAAAATTGTTTTCAATCGTTGATGGAATATTTATACGCGCACACATAATTAGAATAACTGTCAAGAGTATCCTATGGAAAATTTATAATAGTGTTTGAGCCTAATTAAAGTAGCAAACATACGTATCTTTAAAGCTATACTCGACAGAAAAGTTAGCTGTATAATGCATGCAGACCTCTTTTAAGATTACACAAATAATTTAGATGGTAATGCTAGTGTCTTTATTAATAAATATCGTTGACGTCATTATTATCATGTATTTTATTTCAGCATTGAAGTTTAAATTATAATTTTACTCTAGAATCAATGACGTCATTTTGTTTATGTATACTTTTGCGGGGTTAAAAATTTATTAGGTTCGTTTCATGTTAAACTTCACAAGTACCGTCAATACAGTTCGTTCCATTTGAAAGGTCTTAAAATTTGTGGAAATTAATAAATAAATAATTTTTTCTGAGCTTTTATAATTAAACGGGTGTTTCTACAAATAGATATAGAAATAAAATAATTTTCGTCTTTAACTTAATATGTCTATAATATTTTTGAAGAAAAAAAAGAACTTTTTTCTCTACAGAAAGACATATTTTAAAGTTCTACATATAGTGCAGATACCCTGATAAAGTGGAACACACACAAAATATAAACATTTCTGACTAAAATCTAAACAGATTACAAAAAGCTTTTTTTTCTAAATGTTTATTTATTTATTCAATTTATTCAATAACGGTAACAATTGTAGGCACGAAGGCCTTTTTTCACATTGGCCGTTTTAAGGGCAGGTTAAACCCCCAAATTGAAATTTAGGTGTTAGGACTTTTTTGAGTGATAAGGAAGTTGTAACTAGCATAGTATATGAAAAAAATGCAAAAAAATCACTAAAAAGTTATGGTTTTGTGAAAATATTTTCTAAAAAGTGTCATTTTTAGGGTAAAATAGCTCAAAATTAGCTCTCATTGAAATCACAATAACTCAGCTTCTGTTTGTCAGAATAACACAAATCTTTAATATAGGGTAATATACGCAATTACAAAAAAGTTGAACTAAAACAATTAGAAAATAATAAAAAATGGATTTTAGCCAAATTTTTTAAATGTGAGACCTAAATTTTTTCCAAAAAGTAGGGAGTAGACTTAGCTTTTTTTTAATAAAATGAGAAGTTTCAAAGATATAGAAATTCTTTTAGTTCACCTTTACAAGCAGTGTTTAGTAAACATGTGTGCAAAATTTCAGCTACATATCTCAAGTAGTTTTTGAGTTATAGTGATTTAACTGGTACTGTATTGTTGAAAAGTAACATTTTGAGAAAAACGCTAAATAGTGAAAAATATACTAAATTTGAAAAAAAACGAGAAAAAGCGAAAATTATACCAAATAAGTCATTTTTAAAACCTCCCAGTTACATAAATTGCATCTGGGGCCTCTTACTCAGCAATAAGAACATCTATTTTAGTTAGTTTTTAATTTTTATGTTGCTAAATGTTGCTTAATATAGGTCAATTACGTCATTAGTCTCATTAATTAAAAAATTATAAAAAATACTAGCAATACGAAATTTTGCAAAATGATTATACAAAAATGTTCAGAATTGAATGTAGTTTCAGAAACAATAGATTTTCAAAAATCAACATTTCTGACTTAAATATGTATTTTGGGGGGGTTTAACCTGCCCTTAAAATAAACAAATAAAACAACAATTCAATAACAGCATTTTTAAAAAAGGCTATTGCATACTATGCATATAGTACATAGCAGTAACATAGCACTAAAAATGTTGAATAAAGAAATAATATTACATAGTTATAATACAAAATGAGATAAAAAAAAAGAATATAATAGATGAATGAGAAATGTCATTTTCTATTTTCCTTGAATAGAATATTTGATGCTTTAGGAATAGGCCAGATAATTAGCCCCGAGACACTATTAGAAATGTGAAAGCCGTGTTTAGAGCACTGTTTATTTTTTAAATATTTGCACCCTGTACAACCATGGCTGCTGTAATAGGAAACAAAGTCATTGGCTTATCTTTCCCGAAGCTTAGAGCATGGTAATTATTTTTTTTTCGCTTCAGTGAACACGACTTCCCACATGACTGTCGTGCTACAAGTTCATAAAGGTTTCCAGGGTCTAAAATGAACCGCCTTGTTTGCCTTCCAACTCAGAATAATTGTCAGACGCGTAGCGAGGGGGAGGGGCGGGGGGTGCGGACCGCACCGTGTGACATCATTTAGGGGGGGGGTGACCCCAAGGTGAAAAATAGTAACATGTACACAAGAAAAATCCTTATTTAGGCAGTTTCATTAATGTTTAATTACAGTTAATTAGTCTTTTAAGTACGAATCGACTATTATTACAAGGGGGTAGGGGTGACACCATGACGTAAATGCGCTAACTATACAGAAAACAATGCTACATCCAACTGTATTATCGACATATTCAAGATAAATATCGTTACTATTAGAGCTGCAGTGATTAAAGCTTATACACATACGTATGTGACATATATTTAAATTATAGACCCATGTAGGCTAACGCAGACACACACATGTATATATATATATATATATATATATATATATATATATATATATATATATATATATATATATATATATATTTATTTATTTATTTATTTATTTATTTATCTTGGGGGTGACACCACGAAGTGCCGCACCGTGTGACACCCGACCTAGCGACGGCACTGATAAATGTAAATACATTTGGTATGGGTAAGAAGTTGATGTATCTAGCTTTGGGGAGGTGTAACGTAGGTGAATAAAAAATAAATGGTGGAATTGATTTGCTGAGAAGCATGACTTGTGTTGTACTGGCCATATAATGTTATTTGTTTTTATTCGGTATTACATGAAAACTTTCATATCTCCGATACCCAATCTGTCTACATTCACAGGTACCTAGTCGATAAGAAAATGTGACGAAAATTCCCGATAAACAGGACAATCCAACGTCAAAAACCCCCTTGCCTCAGCAGACAGTATCCAGACAACCAACCACATGTGCTAGGTTGTTAGGGTTGTGTGAGAGGATTGTTGTTACGGTTGTGTGGGAGGATTGTTGTTAGGGTTGTGTGAGAGGATTGTTGTTAGGGTTGTGTGAGAGGATTGTTGTTAGGGTTGTGTGAGAGGATTGTTGTTAGGGTTGTGTGAGAGGATTGTTGTTAGGGTTGTGTGAGAGGATTGTTGTTAGGGTTGTGTGAGAGGATTGTTGTTAGGGTTGTGTGAGAGGATTGTTGTTAGGGTTGTGTGAGAGGATTGTTGTTAGGGTTGTGTGAGAGGATTGCTGTTAGGGTTGTGTGAGAGGATTGCTGTTAGGGTTGTGTGAGAGGATTGCTGTTAGGGTTGTGTGAGAGGATTGCTGTTAGGGTTGTGTGAGAGGATTGTTGTTAGGGTTGTGTGAGAGGGTTGAACTCAGTGGCGTGCAGACCTATGGACATGCCCGGGGCCAACTCAAGAGGAAGATGCCCCCATATATATATATATATATATATATATATATATATATATATATATATATATATATATATATATATATATATATATATATATATATATATATATATATATATATATATATATAAAACATAATTAAAAATTAATGTTAATACATAAAGTAAAGCATTTTGTTTTAAAAGTTACTTAGCAAGACGAAAACATTGACTACGGCCAAATCCGAAGGAATTCACAAATCAAATATTTTAATGGGTGAAACCGGGGCGGGGAGACATTTGGGGGACATGTCGAGCGTGTGTGTGTGTGTGGGGGGGGGGGGTTAGATGCCATGCCATGCCCTACAAGGCCCCGTCCACCTCCCCTTCTGCACGCCACTGGTTGAACCATACCTGATCCACTACCAAGTTAGAATAACACTACCATAATCAGTCATTACACATCACAACGAAACAGGCGATAATTTCTTGAAACAGTGCATGTTACTTTGTACGTCAATGTTTATTCAACTACTTGTCTACTCTCTGCTGAATGTAATCATCCTTGATATACACATCACACTGAGAACCTCACACGCTCTCTATCTACCCAGATGTCCCGAGCTTGCATCCCTACACTAACCAGTCTCTATCACGTAAAAGAAACTATCTTTCATCCGGGTCATCAATCCATGCATTCATTATACATCTTTCATCAATATTCGTTCGCACGAAATTACCCTGATAAAACACACATAATAACACTGGTGGCGTCTGATATCCACTAAAATAGAACAGTGTGACATCAGATACTCACCAAAGTTGTGTGTTCAACAAGCACTTAGAAATCAATCAAGAACAGTTTGTCACTGAACACAAACTTTGTTGTTGTTTGTGAACGCATATGGGACGTCTTGAAAACGATATTTTTTCTCATATTAACGAAATAAAAACAAAACAAGAACATTAAGTATAAATCAGCTTTTAATCTCTTCAGGAGTAGCAGCCAAAAGATTGGCCTGATAAAACAGCAAGAGCGATAACCA